TACTTAAATAAAACTTAAAAATAGAGTGAATAACCAAGATTTCTTGCCGATACTCTAATAAAAAAGAAATCTATTCAATGAATAGGATAAGATCCATTGGGTTCTCTTCGCATTCCTTTGTGAAAGAGTAGAATGAGAAAGCTAATGAATCTTAAACCCATTACATTGATAAAAAGAAAAAGAAGTGCATTGATAAAAAGAAAAAAAAGAGGATAAATAATAATAATATTGTATAGTTAGGGAATAAAAGAGGATTTGGGGATAGAGGGACTTGAACCCTCACAACTTATAAAGTCGACGGATTTTCCTTTTACTAGAAATTTCATTATTGTCAGTATTGACATGTAGAATGGGACTCTCTCTTTGTCCTCGTCCGATTAATCCACTTTTTTAAAGATCTCGAAAACTTTGAATTTGAATTGAAGAATTTGATTATTCAATATTCGATTGGAGTGGATTCACGATAATGAAAAAAAATTATGATATGAGTTTTTTATTTCATAATCATTATCATTTCTAATTTCATTTAAAAAAAGATAAAGAACCTATATTATAATTATAATATAATATGAGTTCTGTGATTAATCGTTTGCTATGTCAGTATCTATACGTGTTTATTAAATGTATAAGGTATAAAACCCCTCCTTTTCTCTAATTTAGAATTAGAAGGAATTCCACTAACAACACAACGTAATTAACTCGATTCGTTAGAACAGCTTCCATTGAGTCTCTGCACCTATTCTTTTCCTTTGTATTCTAGTTCGAGAACCCCTTGTTTTCTCAAAACACGGATTTGGCTCAGGATTGCCCTTTTTTAATTCCAGGGTTTCTCTGAATTTGGAAGTTACCACTTAGCAGGTTTCCATACCAAGGCTCAATACAATCAAGTCCGTAGCGTCTACCGATTTCGCCATATCCCCATTTCCCTCTTCTTTGAGACCAGGATTCCTTGTGTAATTTCATCCATCTCTTAGGGTTTTTTTTTGAATCATTGAGTTCATCACTCAACGTAGTCTAGCAGTTCAGTTCGACTCTATTTGAGAGACCTCGCTTGCTTATTGCAATTCAGAATTGAATTGATTCTATCCTTGATGTATTTGCAATTCAAACCGAATCAATATATCCAAAAGTTTTTATCTCCCCCACCTCCCGTCTTACTTTTTTATAGTATTCAAAATTATACTATAACGCTTGATATTTATTCTTTTTTTCTAATCAGAATTAGCAATTTTATTTACTCTGACTCTATGTTCCCCTTAGTGAAATATTAATCCTCAAATTATTAACAAATAATAAAGTCTATAATGATCGAATGAAAATACCAATAAATTCTATAATTTTATTTTTTAATATCCTATAGTTAAGCATATCAAGCTAACTTTATCTTTAAGAAGTTTTTATCTATCTAGACGTCTTGCAGTCTTAAATTGTGGAGTATCAAGCTAGCATCCTGATTTTCTTTTCGAACCGACTCTTTTTTTTTTTGAAAGATCCAGCTGTTGCTGGCATTCATTTCATTAGCAGAGAGAACACCGACTTGTAAATGAGCCAAACTTGGACCTGGATCCTCGCCAACAAGGGCATAAACAGATGCACTTGCCAGAAAAAGGTGATGCCAAAATGGAAAATGCCAACACACTGTCGCTTCCTATTTGAAAAGAGCAAACGAAATTATGTTCAGTAAAGCAAACAAATATTTCCTTTTATTTCCGGGCAAAACCATGAGGAAGATACATAAGCAAGCAACAACATCATCAAACAACAGCATGGCACCCTTTGATAGTTACAAATACTGAATACACGACCTTTTAACTTGTCAACTCCACACTCTGCTCAATGCTCCCGCGTCACTACTTGAGTTTGGAGCGGCTTTATTAGATCGGGAAAAAAGCACACAAAAATCAAACCAGGGACAGCATAATCATAACCATAATCATGTATGTTCCCTCTCAACTGGTTCAGTTGTAGGCGTCCGGGTTGGCGACGAGGTATGCCTCGGCGGCCTTGAAGATGGCCGTGACAGACTCCTTGGCCTTGGTGATCTCATCGTTCACCTCCACGCCCGGCAGCAGCTTGTACGTCGACTCCACCTTGACGACGCTCCCGCCGTTGGCCGCCGCCTCCACCTTGATGTGCGAGGTGGCCATCTCGATGGCGGTGCCGATGCCGCCGCCCTCGATGAGGGTGGACTTGCACTCGCACTTGTCGGCGTCGATGAACTCGAGCCTCTCCTTCATGAGGCTGAAGGGCATGGCTGCAAGATCAGCTGCGTGTTATGCTTTGACCCAGGATGTGTACCAGACTGAAGCTGACATGAATTGTGCGTGACGCGTGGTACCTGAGGTGAAGTTGAACTGCCTGACGCTGCCGATGCCGCCTTCGCCCTCGACGGGGTGGGCGCTGGCGACGATGTGCGGTGCGAGCTTAGGGGCCAGTGTGTGCCAGTCCATGACGCCGGCACGGAAGAGGCGCGACGCGGCGACCGGCGATTCGATCTCGTGGGTCCAGCTGTCGGTGAAGGCCATTGCTGTGATGATCAAGGACTCGACCGGTGCAAGTGATGTGTTGAGCTGTGGCTGTTGTAATGGCGCACTGGGCTGCTTGGTTTCCTGGAGTGCGGAAGTGAGCGCCATAAATAGAGGTTCCAAGGTGGGGGTTGGTGAAGCTTGAACGGATAGGTGTGGTGAGTAGTGGGGGCTGGTGAAGGCGCCAAGCCAGGGTCGAGTTTTTCCAAATTGGACGGCACCGTCGGTCAGCTAAGCTTTTATCATTACAGGGTCTGAAAGCACGACATTTTTTCAATATATTTAGTTAACGGAGAAGAATGTGTTGTCCAATTGGCACCACGGTCCGCGTGAGCAAATTGTTCTACAATGTTTAGTTAAAGAAAAAGAATGACGGACTCATAGTCTCCTAATCAAAAGCAAGATATAGATACTTGGGGTTGGTGTGGTTGGAACGAAGAAACACTGAAGTAATGCATATAGGACGCCGACGACGCGAGCGACGACCACACACAGCGCGTCCACTTCTGTGTGATCTCCGTTGCTTGTAGTACAATGCTCTTGTGAAGAGCCGCCGACTGTCTTTTAATCCAAGGGGACTTATTGCAGAAGACGCGCTTCAAATTAGTCACTGTTTCAATGTTGCGCCTGCAGTTCAGATGCACAAAGTCTCTCGGATGCACAGATAGGATAAGTTTCCTTACAAGAATGCCTTTCAGATATCACCTCCTGTTGTCAAAATTATGTGCAACCTTCCAGTCGTTGCGCAGTTTTACAAACTCGACTACAGTCTCTAAGCTTGAAAAATACATCTTCACCGTACACACAGTCGCAAAGTTTCTCCGAGGCATGCCAACAATGCTGCGATCCTACTCAGCATCATTGTCACTATTTTCAGACAAATCCACGTCTTCACCATACACCATTTCATCAATTTCGTCTTCTTCATCTTCATCAGATTGGACTGCGGCCTTAGACGATACATCTTTCACATCCTTATCAACCTAAGGAAATTGAAACACATAATAACTATATCATTCATAACTGTAGCAGTAGGACTAACTACTAACTTCTTCAGCATTGTAAATGGATGTAAACCTGTGCCATTATCAGCCGAAGACGACCAGAAAGCTTCAGTAAATCTTCAGTTGCTGTGTATCTTTCTGCACACATCTGCAAAAGAACGATCAGTTCTACTTTTTATGCTCTTCGGCTTATTTTAGTAGTGTTGATCGGATGGCCCGTATCTGTTTGTGCTTAGATTAGTGGCATGCCAACTGAGGTCATATTTTGGTCAATTCATGGCCAAACATCCAGCAGACAAAGACAGTCCCGTAGTTGGCATATCAACTTTAACCACATTGGTTGGTAGCTTATTCAAATCGATTGTGTAATCCAAATAAGGCAAGGCACTGATGTTGCATTTCTCTCCTAAATAGATTACAAAGCAAAAACACATGGCAGCAGTATTTACTAATTTTAACTACCATCTCCCATATTTATCTTTAACTCTATGATCATCTGCTCAATGTGATCCTAAAACTTGCCACTGCCAACTACAGATACAACTTGAGATCCTAAATGAAAATCCATCTTTCAAAGATGACATGGAAATTCAAGATCTAAGCTATACAAGTGTAGGGGCAAATATCATCAGCAAAATAATGTGTTTCACCTTCCAGACTGTGCTCTTCACACTGACTATAGAAGGTTACAATTGTGAGTTTGCATGTGGGCTTTTCACTAATAGGTTTCCTGTAGGCCAATTTGAATGTGCACAGTCAGTTCAACTGCAGCAGGTGAGTTCTCGCCACCATTGATACATCTTTCTCAAAGAGGTTGCCAGGAAACTACAATAACAGTTACTCCCTCCGTTCCCAAATATAAGTCTTTCTAGAGATTCCAACAAGTGACTACATGCGGAGCAAAATGAGTGAATCTACACTCTAAAATATGTCTACATACATCCGTATGTTGTAGTGCATTTGAAATGTCTAAAAAGACTTATATTTAGGAACGGAGGGAGTACATCACGAACATTCTGAACATGGTGCAGTGGTCAGTGCATATATACACAGTTACTTAAATTCTGTTATACTTGTGTATGACAAAGCAAAATTCTTATTGAGCTAGAGCTAAACTACCCTGATTGTATATGATGGTCTTAAGTTTGAAATATGTAATCCTCGTTGTGCATTATCTAATAGTCCCCCCGTCCCATAAAATAAGAGTGTTTTTGACACTAGTGTAGTGTCAAACACGCTCTTATATTATGGGACGGAGGGAGTACCAAACATATAGGTCAGTCGCTATAGCACAACCCTTCTCCATAACAAGAACACTAGTACTCCATAATACACTACACATAAGTACTTAAACCTTTGCAACTCATTAAGATGCCAATAGAACGACAATAGTTTGTTGTCATCTATTTGGAAACTCAAGTCTAATATCAAGAAAAATGAAACAAAAAACATAAGATTTTCACATACCTAAACTACAAATCTAGACAATGTCACCCCTATTTGAGGGGGTATGTTTCGAATGATCTACAAAGCTCATGGGAGAAACAAACAGACATATAGAGATATGCAATGCAACAAGCTCCAACTAGTACTGCTAAGTGGTAAGAAGAAATATTACCTTCTCCAGGTCGCTAATTAGTTTTCTTGATTTCTCCAAGGGGATAAAACGACCATGAATTACTAGTAAGCAGTATATCCAACGCAAAACAAGCTCAGCGCTACCAGATCTGTCGAGAGATACATATCAGCAACCAACACAGAATACACAGCGGTGAAAATGTGCAATGGTGAAAGACATGGATGCAGAGCACCTTGATCTCCATGCACATACTAAATTCTCTAGAAGCTTGCAAGCATCTCCAGGCTTTAAAGATCTTAGATGTGCTCGAATCTATTGAACAACAGAACACAACATCAAAATTGTACCCCTTCACATCAACAAATTAACTTCGATAGCTACACGCACATAGTAAAGATGCGAACAGTGATAGAACTTTAAACTGAAACTGAGTTACCACAAACCTTCTTGCTGGGTAAATTAGCGTCAATTGTCATGCCGCTGCTACTAAACAGATCTGATAAGATTTTAGTGGCCATGTCAGGATGGCCGACGAGACTCTGATCAATGACACCATATTTCCTCATCAGATCTTCAATGCATATGCTGTCGTTTTCAATTCTTTGCACCGGAACTAAATAAGGAAAATGGCTTTTTAGTGATGTGATCAAGCTGTATATTAGAACATTCTGAAAATAAATGATTTGGAATAGTAAATATAACAGGCACATCCTGGTTCTCCCTACAAAAAAGTAGCATAAAACTCAAATATGCTAATAAATAGCAATACATTACTCAAGTTGTCACAGAATTAGTTGCTACATCGTCCCACGTGGAGAACAAAACAAGGTTATGCCCCTGCAGTTAATAGCTTATGTAGACTCCAACTGTTTGTTGTGTTTCATCACTTGCAGAAGAGGAGAAGACATGGCAAGAGATAATTTACCTCTTTTCTCGGTCAACCTTGAAGTGGTACCAAGGTCACTATCAATCGCAAGTTTGACGCCACTCGGTTTTGTTACACCATGTTTCCTTTTCTTTTCTTGTGTATGAAGCTTCGGAAGAGGAAGAATGGCATCTTCTGCATTCGCCCGGTCTAGAGCAGTGATAGTTACTACAAAAGAAACAGACAAAGTTCAGCCCAAGATTCGCCATTAATAACCTTCTCAAATGAAGGCGGTGACAATAAAATTCCTACCAAAATCCCCATTTTTAAACAGGGTTTGAATGGTTGACCCATTCGGATATTCATATAAATAAATAATACATAAGGTGAATTACCACCATAACTGATGAACATTAGCATACCTTTTGTTTTAGCAGATTGACCTTTCTGGTGCGTGGTGGGTTGAACTGTAGGTAAGAGAACTCCATCTTCAGATACACCCAAATTAACATCCTTACCATAACAAACCAGCAGCTTATCGAAAGATGGTTTCACCACGGATCCATATGCCAGAAGGACATGAGCCGAATTAGGTCCATCTATTCCTTGAAGTTTTGCGGCAAATATCGTGAAATCCTGATTCATTCTTGAAAGGGAGGACTCGGACAAGGCAATCTTAGTAGGCTTCTTATTGCGCAAGTCATCCATGTTATTCCCAGACCAGAAATAGCAGATACCAACCTCAGAGATAGCCAACACATCTATTTCTCCTTCAGTAGCATTAGTACCTGAACACATGCAGTCCACAAAGATTGCTGGGTGTTCCATAGAGAGTATACAGCTTGAACTCTGACTTTTACCACTGCCCAACTTCCAAATGGCAACATAGCGTTCCCCAACTCCAGATGACAGAACATATTCGCCATTGTTACTAAAAATCATGTTTCTCACAGACACCTAAATATTCATGTAGTCAATAGCAACAGGTGTGCACTTAGAAAAAGCAATACAATTGAAAAGATAACAAATTCAGAAGAGGATCAAAGTTCAGGAGGGCATACAAGACACTCACCGGATGCCCAGAGAATTTTTGAATTTTTTTGTTGTCAGAAGCGTCAAAGGTCCTCAACTGACCAGCTGCTGTTGCCAAAACTGTTCCATCTGATAAGATCAAATACAAAGTGCATTTCATTTCTTTGAACTGGGGTGGAAATGATTGGTATGGAGAGCAGATACAAGCAAAACAAAATGGGCATGCATGCCTCATTGCAGCATAAGATTAATACACATACAGACATATATTATATACTAAAAGACCCTTAGCTCGAAGGATACATATAATGTTAACAATATCATACATTTGCGCATATATCATATAAACAGATAGATAAAGTTCGGATTTCACAAAAAAAGGATTATAAACAAGTAAAAGCGGCATTTTTCAGGACAGTGGGATTTTCTTTAAATGGATCCATGTGTCTGGTAGATAATAGGTGTGTAGCATTTCCATCTCTACTTCGAATAGATCATTACCATTATAGTTTGAAAAGCAAACTGTGGAGATCATTTAGAGATTCTAGGCCATGACATGGCCAACACCATGAGGGCGCCAACATGATATAACATGGATAAAAGATGGTTAATATCTATTTGTTGAATA